TGTGCTGATTAGGTGCAGGTGCATGGCTAGTCGAGCGTTCTGCCCAGCAATCTGTTTACATGCAATCAGCCTCTTGTCTCCTTAGCCTCTGCTTTCCCGTGCTTGTGCACACCTCCAGAGCAAAACCACTGTTGGGATCCTATTCTAGTGCCTTGCTTACCATTGTGCTAGAAAGCAGAGTAATTTGCAGAATGGGCTGCAAACCCACTTCAGGAATCTCACATGAATGGGTAAATCATTATGAGCAGATGCAAATCCCTAGAGTCTGGGAGAGACCCATTCCTTATTCCTATAAACTGAATAGAAATGTATCAAAATCTAGCTGATCTTAAGAAATTGAGCTGAAATATTTGGATATTGGAGAGCCCTCTATGATGATTAGTTTCAGGAAAAATGGACAGGATGAACATGACCAAAGTTTCACCGTTTAGAAAGTTCAATAAGAAAATGCACAGTAAAAATATGAATAAAAATGATTAGGTCACTGAATAGTTCCTATTTAAAAACTTTAGTTTGTTCATAAGAAGTCTGTCTTAACACTAAGTGAATAATTTTTCTTCTACATAAAAGCATGTGCACATTTAATTTTTTCCTTTCATTTTCCAGTGTTTCTTTAAGAGACCTCTGAGAAATGTGGTTGAAGTTCTGTGGCTTGTGTTAGAGCGGACAAGCAAAGGGTTCCTTATGCTATGGCCTTTACACATACTACGGTCTGAAACATAATCAAAGCATTACCAGATTTCTTATCACTCCTTTCTGTACTTTGTGTTGGTACAGTAAGGTTAACAAAAGAAATTAAAATATTCATATATTTCGTTCAGTCTTTGGGTCAAATTTTCTCGCATTCAGACATGTGCTAGTCTTTCCACCATATGTATTGAATGTAGGTCTATATTCCAAAATGAGTTGAGGCACAACTTATGCAAAATTTTGAATGTATGCATTTATTTTAAAGGAAAGAGCTTAGCTTAGCTTAACATAGGTAGCTCCTGACAGCTTCAAGTAAGTGTTGGGGAATTTTTATTGTACCACTTGAGGTGAATTAAATACACATTTGTGCTTAAGTATGAAGTGATTTAATGGACAATGCTTTGGACAGAGTCCTACTGCCTTAAGCAGTTCTTCAGGGAGTCTGCAAAGATGTGGCATGAGCCAGTTCCTTATACATGCTTGTGCCAGCAGCAGTCATATCATTACAAATCAATACTGTGGCATTTTATCAACAAAGAAATTTGTTCTTCCTTATACAGAGTCATTCCATCTCTGGCATTAGTTTCTATTGTTTAACCTGGTTCTGTAGTTAGGCCTTCCCACGGCCAGGACCAGGTCATTCGTCGGTCTCCAGTTACCATTGCTGCGTGGTTACAGTTTGAACTTCGCCTTTGTGAGATGTCTCAAGTTAAAATTTCTGCAGCTGTTTTTCTATACTAGATGGTTACTGCCAACTGCTTGATGATTTTAGGCACTGTGCTTCATGCTTGAGAAAATGGCTCTCAGATCCTCATCTCAAGCATCTGTTTCTAACCCTTTCATTTTTGCCTCATGTATTATGCAGAGAGATCGAAAAGAGTGTGGTGCGTTGACCTTGGCCAACTGCCAGATGCTCACCCAGCTCTTCTCTCACTCCCCTCCCTCAACAGGAGCGGGGAGAGGATGCAAAAGCTTGTGGGTCAACACAAAGACAGGGAGACTGCTTACCAGTCACCATCCCAGGCAAAACAGACTCGACTTGGGGAAAAGGAATTATTTAATGTATTGCCAATTAAGATAGATTTTGGTAGTGAGAAACAAAAAATGAAATTTCAGACAACACCTTCGCCCCACTCTCCCCTTGCTCGGGTCAACTTCACTCCTTCATTCTTGACTGTTCTATCCCTCCCCATACCCTGAGCGATACAGGGGGAATGAGGGTTGGGGAGGTTTCTCAGGATGTAACAGTTTTTCTTAACACTCTTCTCCAGTGTGAGTCCTCTCCATGGACTGCAGTCCTTCAGGACAAACCTGCTCCGATGTGGACTTTCCACAGGCTGCGGTTCTTTCAGGGCGTATCCACCTGCTCCAGCGTAGGATCCTCCGTGGGGGGACCTGACCTTGGTGTTTGCACTAGTGTTTCTCAGTCTTATTTTTTTTAATCCCTCACAACCCCCCTCCTCTGCCTGAGTGGTGTTTTCGCTCTTTCTTAAACATGTTTTCATGGAGGTGGCACCAGCTTCCTCAGGAAAGTGAAGTGGCTGATCTGCCGTTTAGTCAGGTGAATAGCAGACATACAATACACTTTTCTGAATCAAAATGCATCATCCAAAGGGATGGAGAATTGAATCTAAACGTCCATCTTCAGGACCTAATTAAAAGTTGTATTAAAACCTGTTGAAGCATTGGGCTAAGGATCATCTCCCATTTAATTTGAGGAGAGGAAATAAGGAGTTCCAATTATTTCCCAGGTTGTTACCTACCCAAGAAATAGGAACTGTGCTGAGAGGAGAGAGCAGGGGCTTGTCTTGGCTAGCTAAACAAAACAAGTCTGATGTGCTGGAGCACTGTGGGTGTGTTACTGTACTGTAAAAGATACCATTCTCCTGAGATCCTGGGATCTTTGTTCAGGTGTCAAAGGAAATGCAGGATGTGAAAAGGACTCTGGTCTGCTTACACGGCAAGTGTTACGTGTCAGCTGTCCCCCAGGGAGGCTGTGGAAAACCTGCCTGGATCCGTGAGGAGACCGCGTACGTGTGTAACCCCGGCGGTTTTCTGTGCCGTGTCCTGGGCTAATGAGGAGCTGGGCTTTTCACTTCTCGCCAAGACAATCTGATACCTAAACTCTGCTTTCCTGAATGCTGTGTCAACAGCACTTGGGTACCCAGGTTCCCTTGCGAATCGAGGTTTCACTGTTTTAAACTAAGAGA